TTCACATTTGTTAAATCATTCTGTGGTATAGACCCCTCAATTATGATATAATGCCCTTATTTATCTCTTATTATAGTCTTTCTTTAAAATCTAGTTTGCTAGGGTGCCTGGATGTCTTAGTTAAGCAGCTGCCTTCAGCTCAGGTCATGATCCCAGGGTCCTTGGATCAAGCCCTGCATTGGGCTCTCTGCTCAGTGGGGAGTCTGCTTCTCTCCCTGCCTCTCCTCCTTGCTTGTGTTCTTTCTCTCAAATAAATAAAATCTTTTTTAAAAATATAGTTTGTCTGATAGAAGTATGGCTACTCTGGCTTTCTTTTAGCATACATTAGCATGATAAATATTTCTCTCTTCCTTCACTTTCAATCTGCAGGTCCTTAGGTCTAAAATGAATCTCTTATAGGCAGCATACAGATGGGAAAAAAACCAAAACTTGTTTTTTTTTTTTAAGATTTTATTATTTATTCATGAGAGACACACAGAGAGAGAGAGAGGCAGAGACACAGGCAGAGGGAGAAGCAGGCTCCACGCAGGGAGCCCAATGCAGACTCAATCCTGGGACTCCAGAATCAGCCCTGGGCTGAAGGCGGCGCTAAACTGCTGAGCCAACCAGGGATCCCCCTAGATCTTGTTTTTAAAGCTTTTCTGATACCCTATGTCTTTTGATTGGAACAGTCCATTTATATTCAGAGTGATTATTAAAAGATATCAACTTAGTACCACTGTGTTACTTGTAGAGTTGTGTTTCTGGTGATGTCTTCTGATTCTTTCTAGTCTTTGTTGCTTTTGGTCTTTTTTTCTCCATGCATAGTCCTCCTCAAAATCTCTTGCAGGGTTGGCTTAGTGGTCACAAACTCCTTTAGTTTTTGTTTGTCTGGGATACTCTTTATCTCACCTTCTGTTATGAATGACAGCTTTGTTGGATAAAGAATTGCTGGCTGCATATTTTTCCCATTCAGCACAGTGAATATTTCCTTCCACTTCTTTTGGCCTGCCATGTTTTGGTGGTCAGATCTGCTGTGAACTGATCTGTCTTCCCTTGTAGGTTAAGAATCCCTTTCCCCTTGCTGCTTTCAGGACTCTTTCCGCATCTTTATATTTTGTGAATCTGACTGTGAAGTGCCTTGGCAATGGTCAGCTTTTTTAATTGAATGGGAGTTTTCTGTGCTTCTTGGATTTTAATGCCTGTGTCCTTCCCCAGCTTAGGGAAATTTTCAGCTCTAATTTATTTGAATAAACCTTCTGCCCCTTTTTCTTTCTCTTCATCTTCTGGGACTCCCATGATATGAATGTTACTATGTTTTAATAAGTTGCTGAGTTCTCTAACTCTACCATCATGGTTCATCACCTTTCTTTCCCTCTTCTTTTTAACTTCATTATTTTCCATAATTTTATCTTCAGTATCACTGATTCACTCCTCTGATTCATCCATCCTCATTTTTATGGCCTCCATTTGGAAGTGCATCTCAGTTATAACATTCAAAATTTTGGCCTGACTAGATTTTAATTTTTTTTTCTCTGCAGTAAGAGATTCTCTAGTGTCTTTCATGTTTTTTTCACACCCAACTAGTACCCTTATAATTGTTTTAAATTCTAGTTCAGACATCTTACTTATTTCTGTATGGATTAAATCCCTGGCCATGAATTCTACTTCCTACTCTTTCTTTTGGGGCGAATTTCTCCATCTCATCATTTTGTCCCGAAAAGAAAAGAAAGAAAAAAAAAAAACAAAACAACAGCAACAAAACAAAACAAAAACTACATCCTGGATGCATATTAATCTGCTTATTAAAAGGATCTAGATCCCAAAAACAAAAAAAAAAAATAGCCTCCTGGGTGGCTCAGTGATTGAGCATCTGCCTTTGGCTCACGTTGTGATGTTGGGGTTCTGAGATCCATTCCCACATCAGGCTCCCCACAGGGAGTCTGCTTCTCCCTCTGCCTGTGTCTTTGCCTCTCTCTGTGTGTCTCTCATGAATAAATAAATAAAATCTTTAAAAAAAGAAAATACAGTGAAAGTACACCAAAGAATTTAAAATATATCTAAAAAAATTTTAATTAATAAAATTTTTTTAAAGAATTGAGAAAAGTAAGAAAATAAATGAAAAAATAAAATAAAGAATAAAAGTACCAAGGAGGTTAGATGCTATTTTCCCCTAGAGCTGAAGCTTTGCAGCCCTCTATGTCAGTAGACAGGGTGAGTGAGTTGTTTGTACTGGTTTTCTGGGGGAAGGGCCTGTTGCACTAATTCTCAGGTGAATTGGTGAAATTGGCTTAGTGGAAATGGGTCTCAGTTGGCAGGGCTTGGTGTAAGCCGCTCCAGCCTCCACTAAGGTGGTACTGTTCTGCTCCCTGAAGGCTTTCAGTGCTGATGGTGGTGGGGCAGGAGGTGAATATGGCAGCCTCCCAACTCCCGCAGTTGAAAGTTCATGCCACCCACTCTTCAGTAAGCCCTCACAGAAGAGCAGTCAATCATTCTTCTGTCCCCAGTTTCCATCACAACCCTGCATGCACCCTGCCTGTGTCTGAGATTTTTATCTCAGGCACACAACTGAATTTCAAAACTCCAAATTTTAGGAAGTCCTAAAATTTGTGGTCAGAATCTGCTGTTCTTCCCAGGTTCGGGGGGCATAGGTTGTTGGAAGGGTTCTCTCTAGCTTCTGCTCTTTGCCAGACCTGTCCCAGGAAAGCAGTCACTGGACCTAGGAATGATTCACAATTTATGGCAAAACAGAGCAGAAAGCCAGCACCTAGACTGGCTGTTCTCAACTGCCTCCCACCCTGCTATGCCTGGGAACAATGCAGCATTTAGGTACCATCCATTCCTTTGTGACCCAGGGGATCCTGAGACCATGGTGTCACACTTAGGTTCTTACCTGTTTCACCACCTGAGCACCTTTAAGCCAGGCACATACCTATGGTAGCAGACCTCTAAAAGTTCCAATTCTGTGCTCTGCTGTTTATAATACTTTGCTGTAGTCTCCACCACCCCCCCCCCGGGCTCTCTCCCTAATGCCATATCCACAGCTATATCTCTCCAAATTCATGTCTCTGCACCTCCTACCTTCCAAAAGGTAGTCACTTTTCTACTTGTAGGCTTGCAGCTTTTGTTCTCTCAGAGCTCATATTGATGTCTCAGGTGTTCAGAATGATTTAATAACTAGCTGTATTGAAGGGATGAGACAAGCTTAGGGTTCCACTAATTATCTGCCATCTTAACTCCCCATCTGGTTTCATTTACTCAGCATAATGGTTTTGAGATGCACCGAGATAGTTGCACAGAGCAGTAATTTGCTTCTTGTTTGCTTCTAGCAGCTTCTAGAGAGCTTTGAGAATCAGAGTTTTTTTTTTAAAGTTAATAAATTTTTATTTAAGATTTTTGACAAAGTTAATAAATTTTTATTTAAGATATTTGACATGTGATTCCTTCTGCCACCAATCACCATAGTTCCACCAAAGCCAGAGTGATGATCTTAAAAATAGCACTTTTAAAACAAACTTTTGTTCAATCCATAGCTGTCACTGTCCTGTAATCTTTGAGGTCCAATTTCTTTAGAGCCCCATTTAGGGTCTCAATAGATAAATGATCTTCCTGGTTCTCAAATATCCTTTAAGTCCAGACACTGTTTTCAAGTGAAAAAGCCTTAATATTCATATTCCTATCTCTTCCTTTTCAGACCATTCTATCCTCTGTCCCATGTTTTTGAATTTTGATGCTCTCTTTTTAGACGAAGCAGCTTCTTCAGTATATTCCTCTTGTCCTAAATACAGATTCATTTTCTTTGGTATTTCAGAACTTACTATGAAATCATTATTGTCCACCAATTTGATATCACATCCATCATCATGTTCAAGAGTTGTTGCAGCCTCTTCCACTGTTTCTGACTCTTCGATAGGAGAGAGAGATCCATCATCATCCAAGCATTTGTATCTACGACTGTCAAAATCTTCCCTTTCTAAATCTTCACTAACATTCATTTGTTTCAAGGATTCCTTGAGATAGTATTCATACTTCAATTTTTCAAGGTAGTTGAAAAATCCTCAGGCCACCTTTTGCTCAAAGGTTAAAATCTTTCTCCATGGTATGGCTTTTTTACATTCTCAGATTCTAAAAATGGGAACCCAGATCCTTTGTCTTTAACTTGTTTCTTATTTATCTGGGAGTGTCTAGTGGTTTTTCTTCCTTTTGGTCTTCCCCTTGGTCTTCCTTTTGGCTTATATTTCCTCTTTTTTACATTTCTTTTTTTTTTTTTGAATCTTTCAAAAATAGCTTTTAAAGTCAGTGGTCTTGGTTCAAAAGAGGAGTCACTAGATGAATCCCTTGCTTCAACACCTCCAGATGAATGAACAAACTTTCTAATAGGGTTTCTTTGCCCCTGTTTTGGTGAGTAAGGGACACACTGAGTCTTAAATAAGCTGCTACCAGAAGAATTATCACTTTCATTGTCAATTTCTACAGCTGAATTAGATGCCATTATAGGTTGAGAAAATTCGTTACATATTCTCCCCCAAGTCCTCTCCAAATTGTATTCACCATTTGTTTGCTTCAGAGTTCTTAACAACCACGTGGAAGGAAAGCGAGAATCAGAGTTTGATTCATTTTTCCCCTTTCCTCTACCCTTGCCTTTTGGCCAACTGCTCACTTTCTACCTTCAGTGATTTCTGAGCACAGAGAGTATCAGTGTGCTCTTTTATCCTAAAAAAAACAGAGCCAATGGCCTTTGTCCACTCTCCTGCATTAACTATGCTTCCTTGGACCCTTCCAAGGGATGGTAGTGAGTGGCTGTCCTTAATCATCCCCTGGCATTTCCTTCCATTTAAAAGAGAGAAAATGCACAGCTTTACAGCTCTTTGTCCAGTGATAAAGTCTGGCCCAGATGGTCTTTGAGAACTCCTGGACTTCCAATTAGGGGTCCCCAGCCTCCTGTATGGGCCTTTGAGGACTATAGCTTTCTTGAGTTGATGTGTGAGGATGGCCTTTCATGGGCTTACTTTATCTTCCAGGACAATCCTGAGAAGACAAAGGCATCAGAACGAGGGGACTTTTACATCACAGGAGACCAAGCCTACAAGGACAAAGATGGCTACTTTTGGTTCACAGGAAGAAATGACGATGTGATCAATTCTTCAAGGTCAAGTTGTCTACTCTGTCCTTCTCCCTTTGAAGCCTCCTGGGGGAGGGGAGGTCACTTGGAAGAGTTTGTTTTTCTCTTCCAGCTACCGGATTGGGCCTGTTGAAGTGGAAAATGCCCTTGCTGAACACCCTGCTGTCCTGGAAGCTGCTGTGGTCAGCAGCCCAGACCCCATCAGAGGGGAGGTAACTAGTCCAGCCCAGAACATTGCCTCCTGGTTCTGTACCTGTTAGCACCAAGCAGAGTAAGCTGAAAGACCCAGATTATCCCATATCTCACTCTACCCAGGTACTACAAAGTCTGAAATACCACCATGAGGCACACATTCCTTTTGGTTAAGCATTACCCTCATGTCTTTAGATACATACTCTAGAGAGGAACACAGTGAGGAAATACCAACACTTTCATGTCAAGTGGACACAGAACTGAGTCCAAAAGAGATGGACTGTTGGACAGAAGATCTTGGCAGTGGGTGCAGGCTCTATTATCCATCCTGGCCAATAAAGAGTCCTTTCCCATTTGCAGATGAGTATATAGCAAGCACACCAGACATGGCTGCTGATAGTTCTAAACTGGGAGGAATATCCAACTTAAGGGATGACAGGATAAGTATCCAAAGTGACCCTGATATATCAGAAAGATGGGCTGAATTTAATAAGCTGAGCTTTCTCATGCGAAATGCAAATTCCTTCCCATGGGTCCCAGAGGAATAGATAGAATGGGAAAAATTAAGCTCATAGGGAGACCTATGTGCTTTTTACTGGCTATAAATCCAACATAATCCTACAGTATAGTGTAGTTACCTTATGAAAGTTAGTAAAGCATCAAGCTGTGTTTTCAGAAGCACAAGGGCCAGTGAAGTGGTTCTCAAGGTCTGGACCCTGGACTACTGGTGGCTGCATCACTGGGATTCTTGTTTAAAATACATATTTCTAGACCTCAGGTTAGCCTCAATCAGAGTGATTGAGGATGCAGACCAAGGCTTCTTCATTTTGACCAGAGGCCCTTGTCCAAGTGTTTCTGATGCCCATTAAACTTTGAGGCCAATGATTTAGAATAAGAGAGGTGGGAGCCCCATGTATGTGCTAGAGAAATCACACCTGGAAAACAATACCTAGTTTTGTATATGACAAATTAGCTAGGGCTGTGACAGATGGCTGTGTGTGCTGTTAATCTGCATATAGTACTCAGAATAGAGCCTGGCACATAGAAAGTACTCAATAAATGTTTAGTAGCTTTAACAGAGAGAGTGTTTCATAATAACCAGATCTGTCTGAACATGAAATGTAGTGAGATGCCCATCTTTGGGAAGCATGCAAGGATGGTGAACCCCTACCTAACAGAATGTTGTTGAGAGAGCTATATGCTTGGGTGTGTAAGCAACCTATTGGCCTTTGGACTCTTCCATTCCTGTCAGAAACCATGTTCTGTTGTGCCTGAGTTCAAGACTCCTCCTCCTTGGTGGGAGGCAGCCTGCAAAGAAAGGCTAAGGCAGAAACAACCAAGGTTCAGAATGTCCCTTGGGACATCTTGCACAGAAGAGGTGAGCAAAATGTTTGCTGGTTGCAATGCAGACTCAGAAAGACTCACCACCCCTTGGAAGTGGTCTGCATTATTCCCAATCCTGCCTATCCAAGCCTCTGCCAGCTATCTTTCTGGTTAGAAAGACTGGAAGTAATGCACCCTGAGGAATTTATGAGGATCCTTTCTCCAAAGTTTTTGCATCAGAAGAGAAGCTCATTGGCTGCTCACCCTGTTATTTCAGGAAAGAGGAGCAGTTTGGGAAATAGGTAGGATCCTAGGATCATTCCAAAAGCCAGTGCATCTAATAGTTGGTCCTGGAATGGAGGCAATAGGAAAAAATCTGGTGTTGCCCATTTTGCTGGCTGAGCCCAAGGCACTGGTAGGATTTTCATGCTTGGCTGGCAAATGTGAGCACTTATTCACAAGGCTAGGTTAAGGAGAAAAATATTGTTACGGAAGTTTTGAGGGTTTTTTGTTTTCTTCTGGTAGGTGGTAAAGGCATTTATAGTCCTTTCTCCAGCTTACTCCTCTCAAGATCCTAAGAAACTAACTCAGGAGCTCCAGGAGCACGTGAAAATGGAGACAGCTCCATACAAATACCCCAGGAAGGTGAGCACCCCAGGAAGGGCTTCTAGGACTTGATGAACTGAGAAATCACCTGAGCACACACTACATGGCTCTCACTCAGGGCCAAGTACATGGTGCCGGGGGAGGGGGGTGGATGAAGGCACAAATAACCGAGCTACTCCTTCAGCCTTTTCTCCGTTTCCTCACTGGCCCTGCCACAAACCACATTTTGTTCCTACTCTAAGAATTGATGTAAACCAGATTGGAGGGGGGCAGGGTGGTGCTGGATCACATAGGCCAAGGTCATGTGCCCCAGGCTCTATCCGTTTTTTGGTCATTGCCATTTAGAGAAAACTATAAATCTGGGAAGCTTTCCAATAAAGTGGTAGAGGGTAATAACTTTCAAGTTAAACATGTTTCTAGGAAATGAGATTTCAAAATGTTTTTGTTTTATGGTCACTAGATGGCCTTTGTTTCAGAACTGCCCAAGACAACTTCTGGAAAGATCCAAAGGAATATATTGAGAAGACAAGAGTGGGGGGAGATGAGAGGCACCCCCCGAAAAGCCCCATAAGCCTCTGAAGCTTCTAAGAGGAACTGGTCGGATCACTGGTTAGTCCTTGTTTGGTGCATCATCCTTTCAACCCTTCAGACATCAAAAGGCTTTCAGTTCCAAATGGGCATCTCCAGAATCATTGGAGGACCCCAGAAGAGAGCAGAAGAATGTCACTAACCCAGAGTGCACAGTCCTTGCCAGTCTAGCATATGTTTGATGGCTTGACTTCCCCCTCCCCTGTCTGAAGGCATCTTCAGCAACTGCCCACTGCACTGGTCTTACTCCAGCTGGCATCCTGAAGGTCAGGTCACCATAACGTCAGTACATGATTTCATTCACTGTGTTCTTATTCACTGCCAGTGGGGGTGTAACCTCTTGACCCTTTTGATAAAGCCATTTGGTAATTATATCCAGGGCCATGAAAAATTGGTTCTACCTTTTAGCTCAGAAATTCCATCTTTGGCAATCACTACAAAAAATGAATTCAAGGATATTTACTGGAGCATTATTTAAAACTGTAAAAAAGGTGGGGGGGACCAATGTCCATAGGACAGTGATTAACTAAATTGTAGTAAATTAACTTAGTAACATATTATGTGACATTTAAAAATATGTCTTGGGGCACCCTGGGTGGATCAGGAGTTTGTGCTGCCTTCAGCCCAGGGTGTGATCCTGGAGACCCGGGATTGAGTCCCACGTCAGGTTCCCTGCATGGAGCCTGCTTCTCCCTCTGCCTGTGTCTCTGCCTCCCCCCCACCTCTCTCTGTGTCTCTCAAAAACAAATAAATAAAATCTTTAAAAAAATATATGTCTTGGGGCAAACTTGAGCTAAATTCATTTTAAATCAAAATAAAAATAATATATGTGTAGTGGAGAACCACAACTTTGAAAGGTAAAGGGAAAACTATGGGGAAAAGCCTGAAAGGAAATACAGATGTTAAAAGCAATATGGATGCTTATTTTCTCCTTTCTTCTACATTTCTCTATTTTCCAAGCCTCCACAGTGAGCATGTATAACTACTGTAATGAAAAAATTATTTTAAAGAAACAATCTCCCCAAACCACATTCTGCCTCCAACACAACATTCCTCAAAAATTAGTGTATTATGTTGTGCCCAGGAAAGACACTAGGACCTGAAGTTACACCCCAGGAGCAGAAACAGGAAGAGGTGACTCTGGGCCTCTGAGACCAGCCACGTGGCGATGAAGCAGATGGAAACTCACCATCATTTTCAGTGCTGCTCACCCAACTTCAGGACCTCCATTCACCCACCAAACAATATTTATTGAGCACCTACTTAGTGCCATGCTCTGGGAATACAATGATAAGCAAAAGCCAACCCAGTCAGTACCTGTATTAGTCTGTTTGTGCTGCCATGACAAAGTACCACAGACTGGGTGGCTTTACCAACAGAAATTTATTTCCTCGGTTCTGGGGGCTGGAAGTCCAAGATTGAGGTGTCAGTGGGGTTAGTTTAACTCTGAGGCTTCTCTCCTTGGTTTGTAGGTGGTGGTCTTCTCCTGTGTCCTCACATGGTCTTCCTTCTATATGTGTCTGTGTCCTGATCTCATCTTATAAAAACACCAGTCAGACTGGATGAGGGCCCGATGAACTCCTTGTAACTTAATCACCTCTTTAAAGGCCCCATCTCCAAATACAACCATATTTTGCGGTACTGGGGATTAGGACTTCAGCATATGAATTTGGAAGGACATGATTCAGTCCATGACACTACTCTTGTGGAGTTAAAGTTGAGTGGGGGGGGGTTGATGTTATTTATCAAAGAGTAAGACAGTGCACAACTATGATAAATGCCATGAAGGAAGAGTTTAGTGAAAACAGATGGGGGGGAATGATCAAGACTGCAGGAGGCTCAGGGTACCAGGACAGCCTTCCATAAGGAAGTACCTGGTGAACTGGAATTGAAAGAAAAGTGGAAGTAAACTAAGTAAAGAGATTGGGGCCCAACATTCTGAACAAAAGATATAGTGTGTGCATAGGCCCTGAGGGGGAATTTCTAAGAAAAGCTCACACTCAGCACCAGTTATGTCCAGATACAGTTCTAAATATTATTTAATTCTCAACTCTCTTATTGAACAAGTACTGATAACATTCTCATTTTATAGGGAGAATGAGGAGGTTAAGCAATTTGCAGTTCAGGACAGCTGGGTTTCAGAATTTTAGCCTTCAAAGAATACAAGGGAGCCACTGAAGGTTTATGGCAAAGAAATGATCCTCTTAAAGTTTCAATAGCCCTTAAATGAAAACAAAAACAAAAACTTATCAAAGTGATTTACTTGTTCTCTAAGTCTTTAGTTTTTTGTTTTTTTTTTTTTTTTTTTTTGGCATTCCTAGGCTGGGTAAATTCGCTTTATGTTAAAGGTGGGAATTCAGAGGGCTTTGGTGATTCACCCCAGACCCAATAGGTCTGACTTTGCCAGTTCATTAGTGCTCTTGGGCTGGGGTTTGGAGTCATGCATCAGACACTGCTGGAATTCCTAATGAGCCCCCTAAAATGTCAGGACATTGAAAGCCAGAGCCTTGGAGGAAATGCCACCCCAGGAGAAGTGGCCCCTGCCGTCACTGTGGTTACATTGCTGCTTTCTCTCAGACTCAGACTCAGATGCAGCTATATAGAAGCTATAGAAGTTCATGAGGACCAATAACCCAAAGTCTATTTGGATTTGAATTTGGCTTCCTCTGGTACTGAGCTGTGTGCTTTTAAAGTTGTTACTCCTGTCCCAAATCTCAGTCTTCTCATTTGAAAATGGGAGATGGTCCTAGGAGACCATTTAGACATGTGAGGATTAAACTTGATAGTAGGCATCAAGCTGTTTAGGATACTTCTCGTAGGGGGCACTAGAAACTGCTCATCTCAGCTGCTTCTGGAGAGAGGAAGTAGTTGGACTTTGAAACAGATCAAAGTGGGCTTTTCTATTAAGTCACTCCAATTAAATTTTTATTTATGAAAGAGGACTTCAACCACCTACCTCCACTTTAACCTCCAACTGTACCTTCTAATGTTTAAATTCTTCTTTCCAGCTTACTTTTTAACTCAGGCAAAAGACCTTGTGGTCAAAGTATCCCCTGACTCAACTGAAACTACTCCCTCAAGCACTCATAAGGACTGCCCTGGTTTAGCAGGACCCGCAGGACTGACTCCAAGGCAATGATCCACCTGACCTTTACCTCCCCCTTGCCCAAACCCACCGACCTTTGACCCACATTTTCCATATTTAAGCCTGGAAATATTTTCCACACTTGGAGATGGCCTTTGAGATGATAGTCTGCTGTCTTCCTGGTGTTGGCCTCACTGAAATAAATTCTTTCACATTCACCACCACTCCTCTCTCTGCCTTTGGAATGTGTCAGCAGTGAGTGGCCAACACCAGTGGTCTGTTTGAGACCCTTGGGGCCAGGAGCTCTTGTACCCCTTAATCTCAGCTACATGTACTTGTTCAAAAAGAAATTAAAAGTTTTTACTTAAAAAATGCATTCTCATATAGTAAAACATTCAGCAAATTATAGCAAGACTAGAATGGGAGACTTGGAGAATAGGCTCTGGACTCCACACACCTGGGATTCACTGACCATTCCTATTGATCACCTACATGCAGCAGATCTGGGGAATGAGGAGTGTGGTTCTGGAATTGTAATTAGGATCCCACAGGTGGAAGGAAGCTCAAGAAAAAGTAATTTATCCTCTTAGAAATAGGGGCAAAAGAACCAACAGATCTGGTTGGTTTAGAAGTTCTGGAGCCCAGTACCCCTAGATAAGCCATGGAATATCATCTCCCCTGGAAATAGCTGGTTTTGCCAATTAGTCAACAGATACTTATTGACTGCTGCTCTCAGCTGGACACAAAGGTGACTGAAACAGATCTCTCCCAGTTTAGAGGCGAGATAGCTACTAACACAGAAGACGATTATGTTCATTTTAGATGCTGCTAAGGTTAGGTCACAGGTCAAATTATGTCAAACCTCTTCCCATCTCTTCCTCCTTCTCACACTCTTTACCCCATTCCTTTTCCTTTTTAGTGTTGTATTCATTTTAGGTGTACAATATAGTGATTCAACACTTGCATACGACAACCGGTGTTCATCACCACAAGTGCACTCCTTAATGCCCATCACCAGCTTCACTATCCGACCCCACCCCCACCTCCCTTCTGGTGACCATCAGTTTGTTCTCTGTAGTTAGGAATGTGTTTCTCAAATAGTGAAAGGGATTATAGGGGAAAGGAGAGAAAATGAGTGGGAAAAATCAGAGAGTGACAAAACATGACAGACTCCCAACTCTGAGAAATGAACAAGGGGTAGTGTGGAAGGGGAGATGGGCGAGGGGATGGGATGCCTGGGTTTTGGGCATGGAGGGGGGCACTTGACGGGGTAAGCACTGGGTGTTATACTATATGTTGGCAAATCGAATTCCAATTTAAATGTGAGACAAGATTCCATCAAAATCCTAGAGGAGAACACAGGCAACACCCTTTTTGACCTTGGCCACAGTAACTTCTTGCAAGATACATCCATGAAGGCAAGAAAAACAAAAGCAAAAAAGAACTATTGGGACTTCATCAAGATAAGAAGCTTTTACATAGCAAAGGATACAGTCAACAAAGCTAAAAGACAACCTACAGAATGGGAGAAGATATTTGAAAATGACATATCAGATAAAGGGCTAGTTTCCAAGATCTATAAAGAACTTATTAAACACAACAGCAAAGAAACAAACAATCCAATCATGAAATGCGCAAAAGACATGAACAGAAATCTCACAGAAGAAGACATAGACATGACCAACAAGCACATGAGAAAATGCTCTGCATCACTTGCCATCAGGGAAATGCAAATCAAAACCACAATGAGATACCACCTCACACCAGTGAGAAAGGGGAAAATGTACAAGGCAGGAAACCACAAGTGTTGGAGAGGATGTGGAGAAAAGGGAACCCTCTTGCACTGTTGGTGGGAATGTGAACTGGTGCAGCCACTCTGGAAAACTGTGTGGAGATTCCTCAAAGAGTTAAAAATAGACCTGCCCTACCACGCAGCAATTGCCCTGCTGGGGATTTACCCCAAAGATACAGATGCAATGAAAAGCCGGGACACCTGCACCCCGATGTTTCTAGCAGCAATGTCCACAATAGCCAAACTGTGGAAGGAGCCTCGGTGTCCATCGAAAGATGAATGGATAAAGAAGATGTAGTTTATGTATACAATGGAATATTCCTCAGCCATTAGAAATGACAAATACCCACCATTTGCTTCGACGTGGATGGAACCGGAGGGTATTATGCTGAGTGAAATAAGTCAATCGGAGAAGGAAAAACATTATATGGTCTCATTTATTTGGGGAATATAAATAATAGTGAAAGGGAATAGAGGGGAAGGGAGAAGAAATGAGTAGGAAATATCAGAAAGGGAGACAGAACATGGAAGACTCCTAACTCTGGGAAATGAACTAGGGGTGGTGGACGGGGAGGAGGGCGGGGGGTGGGGATGACTGGGTGGCAGGCACTGAGGGGGGGCACTTGACGGGATGAGCACTGGGTGTTACTCTGTATGTTGGCAAATTGAACACCAATAAAAAATAAATTTATTATTACAAAAAAATAAAATAAAAAAATAAAAATATACATATAAAAAAGAATGTGTTTCTCAGTTTATCTCTCTCCCACCCCTCTCTTTTTTCCTTTACTTCTTTGGCTTGTTTCTTAAAGTCCACATCTAAGTGAAATCATGTGGTATTGGTCTTTCTCTGATTGACTTATTTCACTTACCATTTCATCTGGCTCTA